TTGAGGTGAGGATACCAAGTGGCAGAAAGAGGTCAAAGAAAAGCATCTTAAATACTCCTTGCTGACTTGCTCTCAATATACTTCTCCATCAAACCTCTCAACAAATGTATAGCTTCCATACTAGACCTACCAGACATGAATCCAAACTGCTTTGGAAAAATATTGGTATCATGTCATAACCCGTGCTCAAGAAAGCTGCTATAATAACCAGTAAGAAAATCATCTCAAACGAAACCTTACTCTCTCCCATAATTTTAATGTGACACATTAGCTTAATTCATTAATAATTCGCATGCTCTTGTGCATCACCTTTATTCTTAAAATTAAGAAACAATGCACTTTTTATGCACTCATCTGACATCCTTTTAGTCATCAAAATAATATTAAAAAGCTTCGCTCAACAAATTCCTTGATCTCCTAGGCATTTCCACATCTCTATTGGAATTTCATTATGTCACATTGCTTTTCCACACTTCATTTTTCTTGAAAGCCTCTCAAAATTTGAGTATGTTTCGAGGCAAATTTTCAGAAGGGCATAATAGGTTTTAAATAAGACATTACCCAGAGATTTCATCCTCATTTTGCAAGGTCTTAATGATCTGAGTTCTGGTTTCTCATAGGTGCAAGCCCCTATAGTTAATTACCCCTCTCAATAACTAGAGAGAACTTTCGATTAAGACTAGTCGTCAAATAGATGCATAATATCAAACAGATACGTACTAGCAGCAAGATTTGTACTTAAATAATTTTTATTTAAAATTAGAAATTCACACTCTTGCACTTAAAACGGATATAGTATAACGATGATGTGTTCGATCAAGATCCCATTGTTCCATCATCCGGGGCTATCGTGGTCCCTTGTCTACTTAGTCAGAGAAGGTAGTCAACCCAACCTGACAAAAGGATCCTTGTAGGCAGCCATAGGTTGTTTCATCCAAGGGTAAAATATAGGCATAGGTTGAATATTTGTCTACAGGATAAATTGGAATACACCTTCAGTAACAAAGAACTGTGCCCTACCGATTATATGCTTTTGATTCATTTCTCAATAATTTGAATCCATTGGAGTACATACATGCTCTGACCATGATTATAATATAATGATATTATTCGACTGTAAAATCACCAAGTCAAAGGGTCCTAGTCATTACCGTTTAAAAGAGACAGGAGCATCAATAGAAACATAAAATAAATCAACCAAAAAGTAATTTTCTTAAAATTGATTTTGATATTATAAGTCTTTTTAATCTGAAAACTACTTTGTAAATCTACACACTAATTTTTGGTTATAAAAAGCAATTTCCCACCACAAAAATTTCAAATAAGCATAAAAAGGCTATCCCAACGACCATTAAGCCTAAAAAATATTTTGTTGAAAAGTATTAGAAATTATATGTTTTATTATATTTAAATAAATATTATAATTCTTGTAGCCGACACAACATAATGGGTTATAGGCTTGATATTGTAGTTATTGTAATAAATTTAGAGCAAGAAAAAAAAAAATACCGCCATGAAGAGCATTGAGAACAAATTTGAGGGTAATTGAAATAGTGAAGGTCTTCGATGCACAATCTCTGCTTCCGGAGCTAGGGGTTCCCTTGCCCACCAAATTTTTTTTCTTTTCAAAGCATTCTTTCTGAGAGATAGAAGCATAACCTGTTGTAGCTCTTCTGCGAAGAAAAAGAGGTGGAGAGAAGTAAAAATGGAGTAAATTCCATCAACCCAAACAAATCAATTGGAGAACTAAGGGGTAAGAGAGTATAGTATAATTCAAAACATCATAGTACTCCAAGAAGACAGACAAGGAATCGCTCCACTTATCAGGTTAACTGAACTTGCTAAGCTTAACCCGCAAACATCAACATAGGAGGAAAATAAATAGAGATTCAAAGACAGAATTTATGTACCCAAATTATGTACCCAACATCGATTATCAGTTTTGGACTTTAAGATAAATGGGGCGAATAATAAAAAAATAAAGTAAAACGATATTCTAAGATTAGATGGGGGCATTTAAAGAATATTAACAAAAATGTTTTTGAGAGAGATTTTAGATCTTAAGTTTTTATCTGTGGCTAGTGATGTTAAGAATATTGCAAAATTTGTGATTGGAGTATCAAAGGGAAAAGCTCTTAATAGTAAAAATAGTTGGTGGTGGAATCCATATTTAGTTCTCATTGTTAGATTAGGGATTTTCTATGAAGCTACTATTTGTTATTGTGTTGTTTTCTTTTCGTATTTGTGAAAGTTACAAATCTCTTGCTTCGTAATTTGACCTAAACGAATGTAACCCCTATTTGTTTTGACTCATCATTTTAAAGTGCTTTAGTTTTGTTCTACGTTTATTCTAATCACAAGTTGTGCAAAATCCAAAGGAGTTTTAAGCATCTCATATTTAGTCATGCATCACCGTATATGTGAGATGCTGCATCATAGAAAACTGCTAAACCCAGCAGTCATAACGAACAACAAGAGGGCATAGAGGCAATGACTCAGATTCACCTTTCCATCATGAAGATACATTTATTTCTTCCACAAATCAACGCATAGATGCAGCGGTTGCCCCACAATACACAAGGACCTTCCAAGCTGCTCCGTGCCATTGCAAGAGAATAGCAAAGTAGCATCACGAAGCAATCTCACCCTAATATTGTGTGGGGCAACATCTTCGTGAATTTCCATAGACTTCTCCAATCACTAAAATCAACCAACCAAGGTGTTGTTTGGATTCAATTAGGATTTAGTAAATACTTTTGTTGCGTCATGGAATATTCACAGCCATAGAGAAATAAAAAGTTTCACATCTTCGCATTCAATTACAAATGAGGCCTTTCCTTGGGGGAAGGCCTTAGTTTGATGTAGAAAATATACAACATATATAGTGCATTATATGATGGGAATTGGAAGAATCAGTATTCACATGTTCGTTTAGTCGGCAAAAACATAATCGGCGAGTGACGGAGGTTAGGACTGTAGTCGGGGGTGACGGTTGCAGTAAAGAATGATATCTGGGCGACGAAGATCAAGATTACTTTGGGAGTGGTTTAAAAAGACAGCCGATATTGATTCCCTTGATCGCAGGCCATTTATTAGGTATTTGAAAGTCTTTCTTAATGATATCAAAATTCAACAATCTTGGGCCTGTTGGATTAGTCTCGTCAAGCCGCTTGATTTGACTATAAACATGTCATCAAATTTATGGTTTGAACCTTCCAAAGACGGATTGTCTTAGAATTGGACTCATTTGGGTTCAAATTGAGTCGAATTTGGTTTTGTTGGGTTTGTCTTTTCGACACATTCAATTCAACTATAAATTTGCTGAAATCAAAGTTAGGATGATCCCAAATTTAATTTCAAAACTTTTAACTTGATTTTGCCTCGAGATTCGTGCCCCATTATGATTAATTTTTTAGGATATATAACCTCGAAATCCAAATTTTACTAAATCATGTGTTAAATCCTGAAAATTGAAATTTTTTTAACAAGAAAGATGACACATCATGTTAATCTAGTAAAATTGTTTGATGATGCAACTCAGGATTTAAGTCAACTAATTCACAGAAAACGCTAATCTAACTTAGTAAATCATGATACAATATAATGACTACCCATACTTCATGTCTCCTAAACCTTGTAAATCCACCAACTACCCAAATTTAATATAAACAATATTAATTTATTTGGTTAATATTAATTACTAAACCTAAATCCACGAACTTCCTAAGTTTAATAAATACAATATTAATTTATTTGGTTAGTATTAATTACTAAACCTAATTTATTTGTATCTTATTGGCACAATTTCTGCTTCCGGAGCCTAAAAAAAGGAATAAATTTCTTCAACCTAAACAAATTCTTTGGAGAATTAAGTTGTAGGAGAGTACAGCATAACTCAGAAAATCTTGGTACTCTTAGAAGACGGGTAAGGATTCGCTCCACTTACCATGTTAACTGAACTTGCTAAGCTTAACCCGCAAACATGAACATAGGAGAAAAATAAATAGAGATTCAAAGACAAGAACTCACCTTTACTGTATAACAAAGCAGATCCACCAACTAATTATCCACAGCTACACACGGACACAGCCTTTGCCAGGTTATCAACAGATACACAGGAGCAAGCAATTATACTTAAAAAATGAGTTTTCTGCAGAGAGCGAAGCATTTACTCATACTTACAAAGAGCATTGCAGTTTGGGGCAGCAGCATCTCATGAAACCAGCATACAGACCACTTGAAGGCTGGCAAAAATAATAATAATTTGGTGTTAAATATATAAATATATATGAATTCAACCTTAGGATTTACTAAAGTTAAATCCAATCGAATACAAAACAGCCCCTAAAAGTACCAACTTAGAGATGAGATTGATTTTGGGGTGAAGCATCACTGCATCACTTACGTATTTCTGCAGTGAACGGGAAAATCTGTTTCAAAAAAGGTGGGCAAAGAAAGTGAAAGTTCAAGCCTTGTTTCCATCCTCAAGAAGATCCACTCACCGGTTCTACAACAGCTACACAGACAGCGGTTTCCCATAGATTAGTGGGCCATCCAAGCTGCTCCGGCACCAACGCAAAAGAAAAATTGGGCGATGATGAAGCACATTGGAAACATTTCATCATCATCGCCCAATTTGAGAGAGAGAGATAGAAGGGGGGAGAGAGAGAGAGAGAGCATGATCAAAGCTTAGGCATTAAAAATCTTCAGCATTGGCATTGTCAAAGGCAATCAGAAGAGACAAGCCACTCCATCCGCTCAGATTTAGGCTTCGTTTGAGACAGTTTTCTTTAGACTTTCTAAAAAACATTAGAGCTTGGGACTGAGTCATCTTATGATACCAGAATATATATAGGTTCATACGCAGCTCACCTTGATCTGTGATGCATGTTCTTATGGGCTCATTTGTTTGCTTCAGAACATGTTCCATAGAAAAGTAAGTAAATGAAACGGGCTCAGATTCGCCTTTGTTCAATCATTTCGCAGGTCAGCCCTCTGCCAGCTAGTTCTCTGCCAATAACGCAAGGATGGAGCGGTTGCCCGTGCATGTACGGGCCATCCAAGCAACTACATCGTCAATGGATAAGAATATAGGATATTCCTGAAGCACCATAGAAATGAATCCTGCTCAACTTTAGGTGTGGTAAAGATCAGATTAAAATTTTTCATCATCATCGCCTATAGTGCAGAGAGAGAGAGAGATATTACGGAAGTAGCAAAATAGAATATTTCTTATTCAGGGTTGTCGTGGCTTGCGAAAGGAGAAACTCCAAGAAGTTGGATTAGGCATATTATTCTTCTAGAGTTTCATACTAGAAATTGAACCATTTTTAGATTCATCCATGCCTACCTTACGTATCGAGAAGAGGATACCAAGTGGTAGAAAGAGCTAGTTGTAAACCATTTAGTAAGGAACTTTTATTTGGTCCG